GACATCTCCCTCATGTCATTTACATTAATGAACTAACTCACTTTAGAGATCCTCTTTGTAATAACTACTTTTATGAACAAACTACAAAGTTGCTGTGTGTCATCATCAATTTTCTCTTTGTAATAAATATGTTTGTATTAAAGTGTGAAATGAGTGAGAGAGTCATGTCCCAGAAACTGTGTGAGTGTTGCAAAGCATCCCGGGTAGGAATTATGTGTGTAATGTTTCTGACAGTTTATGGTGTTTGAGTGAAAATGAGTGTTTCATGTTGTTTTCCTGTTGGTTTGGCATTTATGTTAGTCTTTACTATTGGCTGTAAACTGACACCATGAGTCAGAGACTGTCTGCGGTAGATATGAGGGGCGACAAAAAGCATTGCAATGGTGGTGACATCACCAGGTGGTGCTTAACTTTGCTCAACTCAGCATGGCATGGCATGGCATGGCATGGCATAGCATTGCTCTGTGTAAATCACTATACTCCTGTGTGCTTTGAGTGTGTAGTACTGTCTGCTAATACACTAAATGAAAAGTTAGCTCTGCTATTAGTGGATTAGCAGAACTGTGCCCACCACCAAAGATTTCCATGAAAACCTCCTGAAACACAGCATACGTTTAAGACAAGACAATGTGCTAAAAAAAATCTCAATATATGAAAACGTGTGTGTGCATGAGTCCAAGCACATTTCCTTTGCACATCCCAGCCATTGTAGACTTGAGCTCACATGAGACACTTATTTTGACACTCCTTCATTTAAATATGCACAAAGATGATAATATGCACTGTTTGATTTCCTCTTAAACAATCAGACCTACATGCAGGAAAAAGAGTAATTTAACTAAATGTAATTATAAATGCCTCCAAAAAGGTAATGGGGTGTAAAAATGTTGGGTTTGACATGCTGTCCATTGGCATTTGCCTCAAGCTGAAGAGGAGTAACGGTGTGTGCACAGCTGCAGGGGTCAGAGCAACAAACATTTGCAGAAAATACAAAAAAAAATGACCAGACATAAATGCGGAAGGGGGACAGAGGACAGCTCCTATCACCTCATCCATTCTTAGACCTTTCTTACATGGAGTAAGCACAATATTATTGAAGGCTAGATGAGTAGAAATGGGCTAGAAAATGGGTGAGTCTAAGGGATTTTCAATTTTGTTCATGT